CCTTGAAACGCTTTAGAGTGAGTAGCTAGTGAAGCCCCTCTGCAGTCTTTAGGAATTGGAAAGCGAGAATAAAAGCGCGAGTGGTTTTGTTATGATAACTGCTGTTTTACGCCGCAGTTCGCGTTCCGAATGTTATCACAAGAATGCTGAGTTATGGGCAAAAGTCGTACCCCAGGCGGGAGTCGAACCCGCACCTCACGCTTTCCGGGCGAGTGCGCTATCCGTTACGCCACCAGGGCCGCTTTTACCCTCTCAGCTTAACGTGTGAGTGCTGTAAGGCTACGGCATAAAAGCCGTTAAGCTGAGAGGGTAAAAGCGGCCCTGGTGGCGTAACAGCGCACTCGCCCGGAAAGCGTGAGGTGCGGGTTCGACTCCCGCCTCCCGCCTGAGCTTCGACTTTTGCCCATAATTCAACATTCTTGTGGTAAAAGCGCGAGTCTTCGGGAGCACCTTTACTATCAGAACTGGTCGATCACGAGAAAGCGGGGGACGATCTAGGTTTCAGGCGCAGTTCGACTTGAGGGGGTCATTTTGCTAGCTTCCATCGACCACTGCCGCTGCTCCTGTAGAGCCCTATAAGTGCCTGTAAAGCCAGGCAGTAGCAGGAGCTCCGTTTACGCTTGACAAGGGCCCACAGATCTGATCATGGTGTGACGTGGAGGAACTAGCAAGATGAACTAGTGAAAGGACGGAATGCCCCCTCTCAGCCGAACAGCCCCAAGTTTCGCTCCAAAACGACGCCTTGATCTGCCTTAATCCTCAGCCTTTACGTGACATGGGGAAACTTTTGCAGAAGCCTTAAGACGTGGATTTCAGGCTCACTGTCACCGCCACTTGTCCGATGAAACTGCAGCTGTTTCCGATGGATTCGCAACGATGCAAGCTCGAGATTGAAAGCTGTAAGTTCTCTCTACATTATGTAGTTAAAACGGCGTAGCTTCGATGGTCCTGCTCGGATACCGTAATCTGAGCAGGATCGTTCGATTCGCCCAATAGCTTTACGCGCTTAGCGTGTATTGTAGACGTAGATGTAGTTGTGTGTAGGCGTGTACCGTACATATACATAAAAATTTGTGAAAAAAAATCGCTAAACATACACACACAGGTTGCACCAGGTCTAATTAGGTACTGTAAAAAAAATCGCGTTTTGATTCCCACCGTACCCCTCCCGTTCCCTTGTCCGTCCCCTCATACAGGTTTTAGCGGCACGTCTCGTTCACTCGGCACCTACAGCAGCATATGACGTCATCGACGATACTGTAGCTGAAAAGGTGAAACTTTTCTCTCTGTCTCTCCTAATAATCCTCGTAATACCTCTGTCGTGTGCTTGTCTAATCTGATCGATCGATATATCGATCGAGTGCATGTGTCGAACGTTAGCATGACAACGTTTTTCTTTCGTGTTTCTTCGCTTTCCTTTCTGAATCGCAACGTGTCGCTGCTGCACACATAGACCGCGGTCAATAACACGTGACATGAAGTAGGCCATGGCCGCGAGCGGCAGCGACGCGTGCGCGGTTTTGGTCGACGCGCTGTGCCTGCACGCGTCGCGTTCCAGACGGCTACAGTATCCTCGATATAAACTATGTGTTCGCCTCGAAAGAGTCCGTGACGCGGTCTGAATTCGAACTACCACAATTCGTGCTCGTCGATGTGAAGATCAGCAACAAGACGGAAAAACTCAGCTCAGGTGGGTGGTGTTGTTTATTTCTCGTTTTGAGTACGTTTTCGTGAACTCTACCATAGTCAGGATCGCAGCAGTTGGCTTGGTGGGGGCGCAAAGGCGCAAAATGATACCAACAAAGCCTGCGCAGGTTGTCTAGTGAAGAATGTAAACTCTTGTTATCAAAGTCACTCAATTTACCATTTCGCAGCCTCACGGCCAAGATGCGGCCCAAGATTGACATGAGCTAACAAAGGAACCTAGCAATAGTGCAAAATGCCCCTTCCAAGCCGTACAGCGCCGTTGGGATCTCTACTTCTTTTGAGAGAAGAAAGTGTGTTGAGTAATTCTCTCGATAGTTCATCGGCAATGGCGATAGCTGGCGATAAAATTCAAATGACGAGTGGTTTTATGCCTTCGAACAGTTGCTTTACACGTACCAAAGGAGATTTATCGCCTTACAGTGCAGCTCGATTTGAGGCGACGTTTCGCTCGGGGAAAGCCTGCAGGAAAAATTTTTGAATGGATTTCGAAGATTTTGTTCCATTCAGTCAATGTTCCAAGGAAAAGAGAAAGTCCGGGTTTTTGGAGCCTCGCACTTTTGCTTCCTCTAAGGATTAGAGTGGTCACTAAGAAAACTACGCTGAATAGCCTAAGAATCGCAGGGCTCTTTTTTATCTGATTGCGATCTACTAAAGGTTCGTTGGGAATACCCGGTCTGATGGCTTCATGTATTCGGGGCTTTCAAGTATCTCTGAGAAATAATGCGTGATCGTTAATGAAATGGGTCGAGGGGTGCATCATTGGTTGGGTATATTGGGTCGAGGTCTGCCCCTCTCCGCCCTCTGTCATCGAGCTGTCGAGCGAAGGCGGGCGAGAGAGGGGGGGGTGGCCATTGTTCCCGAAAAACACATTACGCCCTGAAAAGAGTCAACCAACAAAGAATTCTTCTCAGCCCAAAAAAACAACCCCTCTTTCCGGCGATGAACAGACCCCTTCCCCGTCGGGGAATCCGTCCTGGCTTTATGCCCAGTATCTTTCTCTGCAGGATTGGATACCTTGCGAACTGTAGGGGTGCAATTTTGTCCAATTATATTTTTCTAAGGGCTCCTTCAGAATTTGTAACTAAAGACGTTCATATCGTCTACGTTCTCATTAGGTCCACCGCTTTAATTCACAAAATAAGTCCAAATAGGGTAAATTTACCGACTTCTGGTTGAATGTGTTGTTCGCTGGCCGCAGGTATGGTGTTGCTGCGTTGAGCTTTGCAGAAGCAACTGGTAGAGATGGCCACTCTTCCCAAGTGAGCCACTGAGAACGCTTAGCCTTAACTGGTATTTGAGGATGAGCCCTATGCTTTCGATCATTTCCTTTCCCTTACATACAGAAGCTGCATACTGCTTCCTCTCAATTACCAGCCTTCTCTGGTCTTTTGCAGGACGTTCCATTTAAAAAATTTCTCCTTTATTCCGTTTCTTGCGCAATGGGTGGTAGTCACTACTGGTGGCCTTCGATTCCATGTATGTAATTTGAAAACGATGTGGTTCCAAGACAATCGAAAATTCTTAAAACTTCTGTGGTAGAGTTCAGGAAACGTGACACAATGGAAGAGATGAATCTTGATGAATTGAGGAATCAACCAAGGCACTTTTCAGGTGAATACTCTCGACTCACGAGTTATTTTCTATTCAAACGGAATATCGGCTTCTACATCATACAAATCTACCTGCCATCAGTGCTCATCGTTGTTATTTCATGGGTATGGTGATTCTATTTTTCTGCTCATTCGGTCCATATCACCCCCATTTTCTTTGACAATATATCCCGAGAGCAGTGTCTATTGATGACTGAATCAGCCATTTAAACGATTTGCTAAGGGGTGGATGTACCGATATCGATAGAGATATTTAGTATCGTTTTTGGTTGAGTCGTGACGCTACACCGGCTCGAGTGGCACTTGGAGTGACGACTGTGTTGACAATGACCACTCTGATGACAACTACAAATGTAAGAACTATTGTAATACTACCGGAAATCTGAACGCAGCATCACATCCTTCTAGAAGAGGCTGCAGAAATTCTGACAGGAGTGACTATGCCTGATTCTAGCTTGTTTTCAGTCTGCTATGCCCAAAGTATCGTATGTGAAAAGTATCGACATATTTCTAGGTAAGAACTTGTCCTGATTGCTTTATTTGTTTTCAACGAAAAAAATAAAAAGTTATGGCTGAAAAAACTTCAAAGCATAAAAAAAAATTATTTTATACATAAATATCAGTGAACGAGACTGTGGAGCGAAGTTAGCGCCCATGGGCACAGGGTACAGCATGGGGATGTGCGAAATGTCGGTGTGAGTACGACCGCCCTCCCCCCTCCCCCGTTCGAATGGGGTCCAGGCACGACCCCCCCCCTCCTTACCTCCACGGCTTCTTATCGCCAACGACGAGCGATGAGAGTCGGCGAAAAAGTTGTCGAGCGGGGGGAATAAGACTCCCCCTCCCCAGAGCAAAAGTATGACCCCCCATGGGTTCGACACGATGTTGTACCCTGCATGGGCATCAGCCGGATGCATGTTATATTTGTGTTGAGGGTGCTAAATAATCTATACGAAGCTCAAAGCAAAAACTTCCTAGAGATTTTGTAGTCATAATAGTAGAATAAGGCAGTTTTTCCCTTCCGGACTAGCTGAAGCTTGATTTCTTTTTTAGGTCCTTAATATAGCGCTGAATTTTTCGCCGAAAAGATACTAACGGAGTGGTTGCTGTCCGCCAAGATTTTTTCGTACTTGGACTCCTACAAAAAAAATCAAGAATTGACTGCATTTTTGGCGCGGAATCTTCATCTTGTCCTGGCGTTTCATCAGCATAATGCGTGGGCCGTGCGCTTAAACCAATCTGATGATCTTTGATTCAAATCGCAAATTGCTGACGTTTCTGACCTGCGTGGCCAGCTATGCGACTAATCGGCCAGCCGTGTATTTTGACACCGATTGATGTACTATGCCTTCAGATTACAACATCCAGCTATAGCTACTCAACGCGTGGCAAATTGGCCTGCCACAATCATTGTAATGCTTTACGAGCTGCATTCGGGGCCGCCTCATGTTTCACCATCTGAAAGATCACGAAAAATCGTCAACAACATCTTCCTTGCAAGAGTGGGGGGGGGGAGGAGGGGAAACCAAACGAATACCAATCAAGGTACAATTTCGTAGAAAAAAATCACATCAAGGAGATCGTACTTGGTCGCTGGGGAGGAAAGAGGTCGTTCCTGGTTGATGCTTCCCTAGCTGGATGCGCCGCACAACTACTATGCAGGCACACATTTACTGTTTTCGTTGAGACTAGCAGAAATTAGTGGTTGTTTGGTGACGAATTCCAACCCCACCACTTGCTGACGACAGCTTTTTGGTAAAAAAAAACTTAAAAATTTTCTGGAAAGCAGGGTGAGAAGACGAGAAATTTTAGGAAGATGATAGGTAGGATGGGGATCGCACTCGAGGAGGAAGTTTGGGTGGGGATGGTCTGACAGCGCCATTTATTCCGTCCCAGTGCTGTACCCAGAGAGAATTGTAACTGAATAAGCCGAATACACCAGTGGTTCGTAATAACTTGTGGAAGTTGATGGAATCTTCCAACTCATGATGATGATATCACAGCAAATAATATTAAAATGATAAATACGCCATATCCCAGAGCTAGGGAGGGCGTGGCTGCGTACTCCATCAGAACACGGCGTAGGATGCGTTTATCGTAGGATTTCTACGTTTGAGATAACTTAATATTATCCGGTCCTATGCTCGCCAACAACATTATTATATTTGCCCAAAATGGATAAAAATCCTCACAAGAAGCCCAGCCCATCAATTCTACAAAAGCCCAGGCAAGCCAAAGGGTGCAGCCACGCCCGTCAATCTGAGGGATATGAAGCGTACGTCTGGCGAATAATGAGCTAACCTAACTAAACATGGGTACAAAACTTTATTGCGTGTACGATATGACGTCGTGTAAATACTGTAACATCTGTCACCCTCGCCGGATCAATCGATATATCGATTATTCGAAAGTTTGCGAAAGATCGACAGGCACTATCGGGAACGGTTCGCCTTCGACATCAAGAAGGATGGTGGTGGATGATTGCTGAAATAGAACGAACAAAACTCCTTCATAAAGAGATCGGATTTGGTCCTTGGCAACAGCTTGGCTGTTGTTCAGATCATAAGAATATAAGGCCGCCAGATGCGTCGCTTTGTGAGGTTCTGCTAAAGTAACGTCTAAAGAAGGGATTGGAAGGGTGAAGTATTGCGGAAAGATGTTATGGTCCTCCAGGTAATAAGCTCGGTTGGAAGTGTCCTCCTTTCCTTCTGAGTAAGGGGGGAGTACTCTTAGATACACCCGTGTTGGTCGCGTCGGCTGAGTCCCTTCGACAGGTTCGAAAGATTGTTTAAGTTGCCTGGTCCTGATAGCTACTGTTATCTTCAATCAGGGCGCGTAGTACTTCGGGGATCTCCAGCTGGGGGGGGGGTAGGGATATTTGCCTTCATGAAAAATGTTCTCGATTGCGACTTTTCCTGAATTTCTTGTTGCAAGGGCGCTATATAGTTGTCCGTTAGCAGTTGAAATAGTGCTGCTGTTTTGTGAACGAGAGAAGTGCAAACCTAATGAGTCATTTGCTATTTACAGCTTGAAGACACTTTCGGAGCAATTTTCGCACAGTCATAAAATCAGCGCCTGTGCAACATCTGGTAGCAACGGACTAACGTTACGACTCATTCAAAACTGTGTATGAGCAAGACCGTTTGACTGAGTTTTTATGAAAGTGACGAGTCTTACAGCGAAAAACACAGCCATTCTGTTGCAGCCTTGGGAACTTGGGAAAGTTACAGACTTGCCTTGGAAATTGGGAATATTGTACCTATGGACCGTTCTATATTATCGGATTGAAGTACTGCGCCTAGCCGAACTATACCTATTTTGCGCTCGCTCTGAACGCGAACCAAAATACGGTAGGAATTATTTTACCGTACTGTTTGCGGTTCCCCCGGCTACCAACCGCAGGCCCCGTCTTAATTCTCGCTGAGAAATTTTATACAAGACGGCCTTAGCGGGCCCATGCTCCTGGAGGCATGCTAACCACAACTTAGCTTACTCTCTGGGGTATAAGGCACACCCATGTACTGTCGTTTTAGCTGCGGGGCCTATCGGAAAGGGTTGAGGAAGGGACTGGGTTTCGTGCGACGTTACCCCGTTTTTCATCAACTGCTAATGCGAGCAAGCAAGAACAATTGGTGGGAAACGGTCTGGCGGGGCGCCAGACTCGTCCCCCTGGCACGCCGTAGCGTCTGCAGCGAAAACTACTATATAAGGCGCACTTTTCTCGAACTCCAAAGACTTTTGCGTATTTTTTTGCGTAGGAGACTTTAGGCATCACGGTTTCAGATTTTTACGTGGTATTATCAAGCTAAATAATTTATTCTCGATATTAAATGCTTCAGAGGCAATCAGAAGATAAGTATATGCATAAAACAGACTGAAAAAGTGATCGCAAAAGCTTTCCGGCAGCGCTCTCGCACCCTTTGTCGCTGCGCCCCTTCTGATAAATGCGCCTTATACCCCAGAAAAAAAGTGTGTTGGTGTTCCTAGTTATTCGTCAAATTATTAAAGTGTCTTACCGGCACTTCGGGTATTCAGCCATTGTCCACAAGGGAACCTGTAAAACGAAGATTCTTTTCCATATTTGAGCACACAAGTAATGCAGTTGTCAGACCTGTAGAGCAAGAAAGTCTCGTGATCAATAACCATCACTGAATGCAGATGCCAGTTTTTGTTATCAGCATCGGCTGCTGAAATGTGAATCCTATGTTTTATGGACTCCAGTGTTGTTGAACTCAAGAGAATCGAGGGCAATAAGTTCAGTTGACCGGGGCGTAGAAAATGTAGTGCAAGCTGGGTCGCGTGCGCGACATTTGCACCGGAATATACTTGACTCAGCGTTGATTGCGGAGTGTATGAAGTCAGAAGATCAGATGTTCTCTCTCGTATTACGCACGCAGCCGCGATGTGAGTCTAGCGAACCACTTCTATTAGAAGTCCAGAAAGCTGACTTGATCACTTGGAGTTTTTGGTACCCCCTTGCCTGTGCAAACCGCTGTTGGGCGTGGCTGTCTGGAGGCGGAGCTTACCCTCTACAGCCTATCTTCTTCCCAAACGTAGTCGCTGGGCACGATGGGCTGGGCGGTAGGCCGCTACTTAACGTCATTAGTGGCAGGGCCTGCGAGAGGCGTTCGGCCGACAACCAAACACTAACTCAGCCCTTCCCCTCGCTGCACCATCGCGCCTATTCTCCCTTTGGGGAACAAAAGGCACACAACGGTTTAGCAAATCACACATCTTTAGGTACAATGCGTAAATTTCAATACTCTTAAGCTTTGCGCAGTTGTCGGCTGGATCGACGACAGTACGCGAAGAGGTCTGACTGGAGATTTTCGCTAGTTCAATCGAAAGAAAAGCGGTTTTGCTAATAATTTCCGTGGGGCACTACAATGGGCCTCTCTGGTTATTTTTTCCAGATGAGTCAACAGTGGAGCGTTCAGTTTACGCGATCCGTTTTGTTACCGCTGTCGTCGATTAGCTGAAACAGTCTGGAGCCAAACTCTGGCCGGAGAGTGGTTGAATCGCAGGCTGTTTTTGATCGAATCTTAGAAGGGAAGGGGGTGCAAAGCAAAAATGTGTATAAGTAGGGAACGTTGGAGCCTGAAGCATAACGGCCTCCGAAGTACTGCCAAGGAAAATCATTCGGTCAAATTGCGTCAAAAAATACAAACAGTACCTGAACCAAAGACGAAAGCGACAGTTTCTGCAGATGGTATTGCACTGGTACGAACGGCAACTGAATACGTACAACTGGTAGCAGTGCTGAGACCTTCATCAGACGAGGAATGCTGGAAACAAGAAGTTTTCTCGAACTGCCCATACTTTAGCGACTGCTTCTCGACGCATTCACGTAAAAAGGGAATTGATTACGCGCGCGCGTGAAATCAATATCTATGTGGAAGAGAATCAGCCAAAGTCGGCTTTACTGTAGAAATAATCTAGTGGTAGTTCAACGCAGCGAAGGTGTACTTCTTCGTTATGGAGAGTAATTTGGAATTGGATTTTACGGCAAAGGTGTCTAGAGAAGCACGCGGAGGCGCGCCATGTCACGCTGCTCCCTCTCATCGAAATAGTGTCTAAAATAGAGCTGGAGTGGTTCCAGGCATAGTTTGCGCGAGAAATCGACCTCAAGTTGGAAAGTGATGGGCACCTAATGAGAACCATCTCTTTGTCGAAGAGGGACTGACGAACAGACATGAAGTGGCGTAGTCGCGTTGCCGCGTGTCTCCCATACCCCCCTCCCCTTAACCTTTGCCCCGAAGTCCAACCGCTTTCATTTTTTGAGACGTTCGTGATGGCAGATACCAAGAATTTTGATAAAGTAGTCCGCGCAGCAAAATCAGTGGTGACAGGTAATCGTTCCAAAGTCATCAGAGAACTTAGGTGAACTCACTTTTGCAGTACTCATCTCCACGAGTTTGCAGTGAGCAGCACCGTGGAATGAGTCATACCGACGTGAATTCCAGTGGCAATCATTAATGATCTCGAAGAAGATAATGATAGCAGTATGGTATGGAAGTAATGCACGCTTGCCGTTTCGTAGACCGCGTTTATACCATTCACCACTGGAGAATCAGAGAATCCGCGGAAAAGGATTATACTTAGCGATTCGACAACTCGAAGTTTCCTGCACGTTCTTGCTGCGGAACCCTCACAGACAGGTAGAGGACAGCTGCCGCCAAACGTCAAAGGGTGCAAAAAGGGCAGGCGACCAGCTGGGAATAGGCTTTTACAAGGGTATGGTACTCTGGGGCGATCATTCAACGTGCGTGTACTACTGTACTACGTACTACTGCAATGTCGCGCTTGCCATAGTACGTCGCGAGGAAGAGAGTGCAGTAAACAGAATATTGACGCCATTCAAAGGACTAGGTTCAAGTTGCCGTGTAGATCAGTCGTGTGGATATTTGGTGTGCGCCGCAACTAGACAGAGCAGGCCTAACTGGTCGATTCTCTAGACCTGTGGTACTACATAGTAGAAGCCACCTATGTTGAAAATTCTGATCATCACAGTAAACACACAGCAGTGACCTTGCCGCTACTTTGGGAACTCTAGCATTACATTCAAGGGATACAGTAGAGAGACTGGAGGGCATTGGCATTCTATTCGTATTCTATTGGCAAGCAGGCTTCGTCAGGAATGAAGGCACCGTTAGTCGCTTGACCGCGGTTAGATTGCGTAAATCTTGTTACTTATGACTCTTGAAGAGGGGAGGTGATGTACATAGTGGTAAGTGGCACCACGTGAGACGCTTACGGTGCTGAAGTCAAGTCTTGAATCGGATCTGGTGCCTACCAGCTGATCCTATCGTCTCCTTAGAATTCGCTTTTCGTGATTGGAGGGCCTGATGAAGGCGCTAAGCACCAATACATCGTGGCATGAATAATTTTGGGCAAAAAAACTTTCGTAGCTTTTGATTTTTTGGACTGTACTTTTGGAAATTCACACTGTTGCCAAACATACCATGAGATTCCAGGACGGCACAGCACTTGTAGTTCAAGGGGTCGCTAGTTGGTTCAAGTGTTGTCTGGGAGCAGGAAAACACTGACCAGCCCTTGCAAGTAATTGCAGAGGTCACAGTGCATTCAAGTACCATTTTGAACTGGAAAAGAAATGCTTGGCGCATCCCAAAGACAGAGAGCCACGATAGCGGTTTGCTGTCCAGCTTTTCTCTTCTTGCAACCTCCAAAAAAAGGTGACTTTTCTGATGGGGTAGAGCTTAATCTAAGCAAAGCCTCAGGCATTTTGAGGCCTTTGAATACGAGGTTCCAGACGAAAATTCAAGCTATATTGAATAGAAGTTCTAGCTAACATTCTTGTGAGGCACATATGCGAGAAAGACCGGTAGTTTCTTTCATTCGTTGACCCCAAAAAGGTTGCTGGCTGGCAAGCTCCGACTATATCGTCGTCTTCAGAGATCTGAAAATGGCGCAACATTCAGATTTTGCACCTTCTGTACCGCCAAAGCACTAAATAATTCAAAAATTGCACCGAGCTATTTTGAAGAGAGAAATCGGTCACCAGCGGTCTATGTTTTGCAGGAGGTTTTAGAAGTGGGAATTTTGGTGAGACTTAGTTTTAGTATCTTCAATCGGGCGGAGGTGTTCTTCGTAGTGCGCAGTTCATTGAGCGAAGCTGAGCAGGTGCTGCTGATCGCGAGGGCCACTCATCTCACTAAAGAACCAATTAATCCGCCTCTGCCAATGACACGCCAACTGTTTCATTCAGTTACGCACGAGCGATTTCGTTTTGAGTAATGGCACGTGACAAGCGGCTTTCAATCAAAAGAAGAATCAGTGGTACCTCATCACGGGACCTATTGTCCACCGTAATCCGTTCGAAAGTAAATGTTGAGTTAATGCTTATGCTCTTGGCGCAAAAACACTTTCAAAAC